TCGTCCATCCTCTCACAAGATACCTTCTGAGGCAGAACACGCATTCAAATTTTGAAGGGTCCAAGGCTCTGATTGGATGCATTGAGACACTTGTTAGTGGTAGCCGTTCAAATATCTTTCTAAATCCCCTAATTTCAGGTTTCATTAATGCATATAATCATTACTTATTTTCTTGCTTACTGTTTACGTTTTCAAAAACCTATTTAAACTCAATTTACTATTTCATTCATTCACTTTTACTCTCTTCTATATTCTCTCTTGTTTCAAGTTTCATTTTCAAAAACCCTTTCCATCTTCTTCAACGAACCCGTATGAACAATGGCATCATCATCAAGCCTTAAGAATCTCAGTGCTCCTGAATCTTCATCAACGGAAGAATATGAAGAACCCATTAGAACGCTTCTCACTCCTGTTGATAACCTGGAAGTTCTTTATGAGTTAATCATTGATTTTGAGAGTTTACAAGAAAATGGGTTCAATCTCTATGAAGACGTGACTGCACAGGGATTGAACAGGTATTTTGACCGTCTGTTGGGTCCAATGTTTCCCATTCTCGTCAAAGAGTTATGGATTCATGCTACCTCATCCAATCACCAGGTTACTTCATATGTTATGGGAAAGAAAATAGTGATAACAGAAGATCTTATTGGGAAACTCATTGGATACAATGGTGGTGGAGTCAGATGCATTGATATGGCTGATAGATGTTCTGAACTAAAGTCTATTGCCATAGAAAATTTCACTTCTGGACAGCCATCCAGCAAGATCAGAGACTTGAAGGATCATCACAGAATCTGGGCTAGAATAATTCTGGGATGTATCAATCACAGGAAGCCAACAAGCTCTCCTAATTACATCAATATTGATCAGCAATTTCTGATCTACTTCATTGCAAAGAAGACCAAGATAAACCTTCTGCACTTGCTCTTCAACCATCTCAGAACCAGTGTGAAAGAGACAAGAGAAGACGAAAGGACTAAGAGGGATTGGATTCCCTTAGGAAGACTGATATCAGATATTATAACAGAAAACGGGCAGATAGAACATCTGACAGAGGCTCAAGAAATAAGCACTCTGGAAGCAACCGCTGGGAAGCCTTTGAACGCCAAGAATCTGAAGAAAATGAAGATCATTGAGAACATTAAGAAGGAACCAACTCTTTCTTCTCATGAGACCATTACTTCTAGGAGAATCCCTCTAAAGGATTTTCCACTATTTTTTTAGATAGATGCCACACCAGAAATCATAGTCAAATACCTTGAAGCTTGCAAGGCTGATGGAACTGCTCCAGAAATCAACATTCAAGATCTACACAGGCCAGCTCCAGAAGTTGTGCTAAAGGAATCCAAAAAGAGGAAAGCAGCAGGAGAAGGATCCTCTCAGAGGACACCTAAAGCTGCAAAAAAGAAAGGTAATCCATTTTTTGTTTTTGTTATAGAATCAATAATTATTACAACGTATGAAATCATTCCCCCTCAACCAATAGAAAATCCTTCACCCCAAACATTTGAGGATTTTGACATAGAGCTTGATCCATCTGTAACTCTAGGAAACTTTTTGAATGAACCTCACTCCCCCAATCAACATCCAAATCCAGAACATCATCAACCAGAACTTGCCAAAGTTCTATCTGACATTGAACTGTTTGATCAAGACTTTTCCTCACCAATCCCAGAAAATCCAAACTATCAACAACAACCAGAAAATCCACAACCACACTCTCCTCAACCAGAACATCTGAACCCCAACTCACCACAACCAGAAAATAGACACTCTCTCTCTCCACCTTCTGAAAACCCATCCTCTGAAATTCCTGAACCAGAAACTCCACACGCTACCGCAAACCAATCTGAAGACTCTCCTTCAGATTCTGATAGCACTATCCCAATCCCTGGAATAACAGAACCTCTTACGGTTCGCTTACCTCTCATTATTCATGATATTCCAAAAATCCCCTCACCTTATGAATCTACACCACCAAACACCCCTAACACACCAATTATAATTCCTGACTCTCCCACTCCTTCACCCATTAACCATCCAACTGACAACCTCAAAATTGTCATTGATCCACTAGTGCTGGACCGTCTAGCTTCAACCTCAAACAAAATTGCCATTCCCAGACCTAAACCAACCGCAACCAAATCAGATGTTGGTAAGAGTCTGTTGATTTTTGAAATAGAAATGCAGGAATGGATTAATTCTTTGAAGCAAGCAAGCCAAGAGATTTCTAATCCTACTGCTTTTGATTCTCTGTGGGAAAGATTCAGAAAATGGCTCAACGCTGAAACTCTGAAGCTGAAAGAATTAGGCTATGAAAGGGCTCAGCAGAACTTCAGTGATCAACTGAAAGCCTTCCAAGATCAAGTTTTGAGCCAATGGTGCAAGAAAGAAATTCTTCCGCTGGATAATGCTCTCTGGAAAGAGCATCATCCTTCAGAAGTTGCTAAACCAAATTCAGATAGTCTCTCCCTGACTAATGCTCCAGAAGACATGATTGCACCAGAATAAGTGGTTCAATCAGAAGAGGCTGCAGAATGTTCTGAACAACATGCAACCCCTGAAGATACACCAGCTTTGTCTCTAGTCATGCAAACTCTGGAAGAGTTGAAGAAAGAGAATGCATTAATCCATGCCAGACTGGATAAGCAAGAGGATACAAACAAAGAGATCAAGGGTATTCTAGATAAACAAGAAGATACTACAAAAGAAATCAAAGACATTCTGGGAAAGCAAGAAGAGTCAAGCACTCAGATCAAGAGCTGTTGGAAGCGTTGTTCACACGTCTTCCACCTCCTTCTTAGATTTTCTTTAAAATTGTTTATCTGTAATCTTTTATCTTTACCTCCTTGTTTCTGAAACTTGTCATTGCATTCTATTTTCAATATAATTCATATTTTTGACTCTGATTATATTTCTTTTTGATAACTGACAAAAAGGGGGAGAAAGTAAGATATTTTCAATAACAGTATACTAGGACAAAGTCTCAAACATTCTGAATATTTTAACTTATACTTTCTGAAAAGCTTGAACAGGAACACATTTTGATAAGAAAAAAAAGAGATGCATCAAAAGCTCTGACGAGAAGGAACTTCAGGGAAGTAATCAACTCAGGGGGAGTCTCTCTTAAGCTTTTTTGTTCTATATTTTTCATTGAAAATTCTAGTTTTTGTCATCATCAAAAAGGGGGAGATTGTTAGAACATAATTTGATTCTACAACCCTTAATTAGAGTTTTGATGATAAAAAACACAAAGAACAAATATGCACTCTAAAATTGTGTTACTATGTATGCAGAAGTTCTGACCAAAGCAGCATCAGAAGTTAAAGCTATAGAAGCTTTCACGCTGAGGTAATCAACATTTGCGCTGAAGAATGATGATCAGAACATGCGCTGAAGTGAAGAATACTCTGATTCGAAACATAAGGTTCATATACAATCATATTCTTACAACTATAAGTCATCAATGTTCTGAAGCAATTGCAGCATACAAGATTGTAAGATTCTGAAGCGTTACTATTCAATAAAGACAACATCACTTGTAACGACTTCATTCAGACAAGATCTTCCTAATATGGAAACAGCTTAAATGTCCATTATCACGCTTTATGTTGGACAGGATTCCCTTGCTTATATAAACAAGCTAAGAGACCAAACCGTTTACGATTTTACACATCACTGTAATTCATCTCAAAAGGCTGCAAGCTTACATACTTATTTTCCACGCTCTAAATTGTGTAAATTATCACAGTTGTGGTAACTGTTTTTGTAACGAAAAACAATCATACACAGAATTCTTGTATCTTGATTAAGACAGTTTTTCCTTGAGATTAATCGGATTGTGGTTGTACTCAAGAGGACTTTGACAGTTGTCAAAGTAGTGATTGTAATCAGTTTTTGATTAGTGGATTAAGTCCTCGTTGGAGAGAGGCGAAATCACCTTTGACGGGTGGACTAGAGTAGTTTGAGATCAAATAAACCAGGATAAAAATACTGTGTCATTGCGCATTTTATTTTAAGTTTTCAATTCAACCCCCCCCCCCCCCCCCCCCCTCCTTCTTGTGTTTTTCACTTCTTCAATTTTCGATTGGCCAGAATGAAGTTTGAGTTTGAGTTATTTGAATCAAGCAATTAGGGCAAGTAGATAGACTCAATAAAAGAAGCTCTAATAAGAAGGTTTCTGAACACTTTGAATTAAGACTCTATGCCATTCAAAGGAGGCAATCAGAGTCATTCGAAGGAGGGCATTTTAAAGAGCCAAATGTGTCCAGGTTCGTAGAAAATTCAAAAAGGGACAAGAAACCATGTCTTTGGCAAAGTTTCAAAGTAACACTCATGGCCTTTAAAACACCAACTTAATGGTTGTTTATTCCTTTGTCCTCTTGTCCCCTCCACCCCCTCTATATAAGGAGCACACTAGCAAGCTTAGAAAAGAGGACGAAAAAAGAGGATACCAGGTACATACGAAAGACAAAAAGAGTGTGAACGAAGGATATGCACTCATGCTGCTCTGCAGATCCATGTCACTTCATATTCTAAATTGAAATAAGCAGAGGAGTTTGCAGTCGAAGGTTGCTCATGCCCACTCTCTGACTCAATCAAAAGAAGTAGTGAAGTCTGCGATCGAAGGTTACCCATACCATACCCAAACTCAGCCAAAAGAGGCAGGAAAAGCTGTAAATTAAAGCTTGCTCACGTCAACTCTTAAGCCCAATCGAAATAAGGCCAAAGGAAGGTGAATCAAAGGAGTCCATGGCCTGGATCAAAGAATTCATTTTATCTTATTTATTTTGTTCTTTGTTTTTTTTTACATTTTTCTTATCTTACGATTTGGTTGTAATAGCGTAGGACCCTTACTTTCTGCATTTTTTACTGCTTTTCATATTAACTGCTAGATGTATGACTAATAGGATTGTATGGCAAAGACTAAAGTCAAACTCTAGCAAACCTAACAAAAAAGACAAAAATAACTGAAACATAACACAATTGCACATATATACCTCTAGGGTACGCCCACATCGGTTGCCTTCTGAAAACGGTCACAATTCTCGAAACGTGAGAAGTTTTAATGATTGTCCTCTAGTTTGAAAGATCACAAGTCCCTCGATGACCCTCTCGATGTTGCCTTTGTAAAAAGTGATCTTAGAACTTTAGGACAGTTACTAAAAGTCCTTGCCAACTTGCCTTCGTGATTGTAACGTCCCTTCAAATGTCCCTCATACATCCAAAAATAGGGTTAACTACTCACTAATAGTAGGATAGCACTGTCTAAAGGATAAGGAGGAAAAGAACAAACTTTTTTTCGAGTACAAGTAGATAGATGTTAAATGCTTGCTCAATTAAAACAAACTTTTTTACACCTACACATTTCAAAAAAAAACTTTCAAAAAGACATTTGCTTTGTCAACACTCTTGAGGACTGATACAAGAGTTATCACAAAGCAAATCGTCGCACTAAGGCATTTTCAAAACACACAAAAGCACAAACAATTTTCAAAAACTGATCTAGCATCTAAGATCCCGTAGATAAATACTGATGGAAAGGGTGATAACACTTTCCCTTTCCATAATCTACCCCCTTACTCAGAAAATTCTCGAAAAGGTCTTTTCTATTCTTTTCACCCCTTCCTTAATTTGGATAAAAGAAAAGACAGCGGCGACTCTTGCTTACCGTAACATTGGTGAATACAAAAGCAAAACCAATATTAACAGTCAGTTCTGCCACTGTATCACACCATGCCAAAAAGCCTTGATCCATTCATGAGCCAAGTAACTTGCAAATCGCTCCTTGCTAAATCGCCCTGCACGTGACATAACCAAGCCGCTATTCACAAACTTAAGCCAAGAATTAATCCAAAACAACCATGAACTTATACCAAAAATCCAATGTAAACCAGTTTGTACATACAAACTCTAAAACCAGAAATAAATTATTTCTTGCATAAAATCCAAACCATGCGAAAAAGCCTTGATCCATTCATGAGCCAAGTAACTCGCAAATCGCTCCTTGTTAAATTTCCCTGCACGTGACATAACCAAGCCTCTGTTCACAAACTTAAGCCAAGCTTTAAACCAAAACAACCATGAACCTGTACCAAAAATCCAATGTAAACCAGTCTGCACATACAAACTCTAAAACTAGAAATAAATTATTTCTTGCATAAAATCCAAACACACTTTGCAAACCTGCACAATTCAAAGCCCTGCATCATGTATAAAATCATGTTCACAAAGCAATTTCAAACAAAACAAAATCAGACTAAGCAATATTGCATCATTTGTTAAATAAACCAGAAATTGAGAGAGTTAAATTTGTCCATGTACAAACCCAAGCCCAATCTAATGATGTAGTCCAACATAACACAAAATCAGAAGAAAAAAAAGAAGAAATAGCATAATTTTAGAAAATATCATGACAACTCACAATCTCACAGTTTCCTCCACCCTTTCCCACAAAATCAAGGATTGATGCTTATCCAATTCCCCTTGTTCTTATCCTAATTCCCACTCTAATATCTATTATACCCTCACTCCAATTGTCATATAGATCATCCCCTCATCCCTCTAATTTCACACAACATTCACCTAATAGTATTCACCCAACAAATAACCAACAATACACACCAAGAATCATGATTCAGAATTCATACACACAGAAAAAAATTCAAAAAAAAACTCACCAAAAATATTTCTCTCTCCAACTAAGTGTTCATCATATTCATCTTCATCCACCATCATATAAATTTCCATCAATTATCAAACCACACCATCTCCATCATCTATGTTTCATATTTCACAACTTCGCATCATCATTGCACAAGCATCATCTGTGAATTGATGTATCATCACCATCATTCAACAATCACGCAAATCATTATACACATTCAACCTTCAATCGAGAACCATAACTCATACATCGCAGAAGAATTTTGAATAGAATAAAAGAGCAGAGAGATAAAGAAATCGACACCTGAAAGCATCTTTGGATTTCTACTTTGTTCTTGACGACTGCGAAACGCCACCGGAGCGTCTCCGATAGGTAACCTTCGAAATTTTTAAACTATCTTCATTTGTGAAGTAATATGAACTCTATAAATGCTCACTATGTAAATCTGTACCCTGAACTATCTTCTTCGCAAATTCGAATCGCGTCGGAAGAATGTTTGAAACAGATGTTGATTCGAGTTTGAGACAAATGGAGATAGGTTGTGACGAAACAGTGGAGTGAGTCGATATGATGGTGATTCACGAAGGTGATTGATGAACAAGAATAAAAATCAGATAGGGAGTTACTGCGCCGCGCCAGAAAGCTTGAGAGAGGAGATTTTGTTTTCTCGCAATGAAGATGGGCATCAGCCTTAGCCCTAAATCCTCTTCTATTGTGTTTTCATTTACTTAGTTTGTTTTTTTAAATAATAATTCAATGAGTGATGCAAAATAATATGCTGTTTTGAATTGAGATTAATTGGACTTGATGACCATGTACTCTTGTTGGGCCGAACCACACCTTTCTAAGCCATGTGCATTTTTTTGAACACTTGATTTGCAATAAACAAAAACTATCATGAACCTCTTGGGCTTGGTCTTTGCGCCTCTTGTTTCTCTACACCCGTGATCCAGGCCTTGCACCCCCTTTTTAGAGTTTATTTTAAACATTTCTTTTATTTTCTTTTCAATTTTTTTTGGTAATAAAATTAGGAATTAAATAGTGTTAAAAGATATAAGGAGATAAATAGAAAGAGATATTAGTTTGGTTTTAGAACTTTCCTTCTTTTAGAAATTAAGTAGGATTTCTCTTATTATTTTCCTTATTCTTTTAAAGTCAATTTTGAAAATATTTATAGATATTTATTTTGTTTGCAATTCATTTCCAAAGATGCTTGAGATAATTTTGTAATTGATGTTTGTTAATTGCTTACGTGATTACCATGTCCCCTTAAGTTTTTTTTTCAATTCTAAACTCTTGATTAAATTGAATTAATTAGACTTTAGGTTTAATCCAAGCATGCTAACTTAGGTAAAACTTTCCCTTTTAAACCTTAACCTTAGGACCATCATTGTATGATAATATTAGGGCTAGAAACTAGGTTAGTCTCCCTTAGACTTTTTCATTCCCCTTTTGCATCTCTTAAAGCTAAAACTTCTTTTTCTTTCAAACTCCTCAAAACACTTAATAATAAATAATGAGAATCACACATTTGTTAAGCGATGAAAATGATAAGCGGGTTTCTCCTCGATCTTATCATCCTTTCATTCTTAGTCTTTGGTGTGATTCAAGTCTCAAACTCTTTTCATAAATAAGTGGAGAAATGGATAAATATCTCTCTCTTGATATTAATTAGTTATTATTCACAACAAAAACATAAACCAATTCAAAACTTTTTTGCCACTTGGCTTTTCTTTTGAAAACTCTTTTCATAAAGTGAATATGTTTTAGCCATTCCAACACTAAGTGAACTCAATGACTTAAGACTCTTCAAACAAGCTCCCCAACAAGTTAACGTTCCGAGTATTGGAATGTCTAACACATCATTCTCATAAAAAACACACAACAAACAAAAATAATTTCTAGAATAACTACGAGTGCCCTGATCCCCCACTGCACGAAGGATGGTACGTAGGTACTAAAGGTTCACAACTACGGCGAGCGTAACTAATCAAAACCTTCTTTCTATATATAATTTACATTGCATACATCCCCTTGTATCATTAAGCTTTAGAATTAGATTCTTACACCCTTATATTAGAACAAACATGAGTGGATCCCGTGGAGTACCACAGACGTGAGGGATGCTAATACCTTCCCCTCGCGTAATTGACTCCCTTACCCTCTTCTCTTGGTCGTAATACCATTCTCCTTTCCTCCCTTTAGGTTTATTCAGTGTTTCCTTTCCCTCTCTTTGGGATAAATAACATTGATGGTGACTCTTCTGTGTTTTTCCTAATCGTTTGCGCTTTGATTGAAAAATCCTATATGCGACACTTGCAATCTCAAATATAGAAGGAACAAGGGGCATGACTCGTAGTGGTCGGATTTACGGTCCCGAACCATAAAATAAGAACGATACTATGGTTAAAGATAAGATTGATGTTTTGGTGAAGGATAAAGGGAAAGCGGTGGTGGAGGCAAATAAATAACAAGAGCCTCCAAGAAAGAATTTTACCAACCAAGAGGCGGAAGAATTTTTAAAAATAATCAAGAGAAGTGATTATAGGGTGGTGGATCAGCTTCACTAAACCTCAACCAAGATTTCAATACTCTTGTTGCTCCTCAACTCAGAAGCGCATTGAGACTCTCTATTAAAGGTTATAAGTTCTGCTCATGTCGCAGAAGAGATTACTGTGAACCAATTTGACAACATTGTAGCAAATCTGACATCTGGATCATATCTAGGTTTCAATGTCAGTGAGTTACCTCAACAAGGTAGAGCTCACAATAAAGCGTTGCACATCTCTATTCAGATAGGTACTACAAGCCTGTCCAGGGTACTCACCGATACTAGTCCTGCCCCCAATGTACTACTAAAATCCATCTTGATGAAGTTAACACTAGATGGTGTTATCATAAGACCAAGTTCTACGATAGTTAAAGATTTTGATGGTTCTCAAAATTTAGTATTTGGAGAAGTTGACCTTCCTGTCAAGATCGAGCCGCATATGTTTTATATCACTTTTCAAGTCATGGATATAGAAACGGCGTATACATGTTTACTTGGACGCCCATGGATTCATGCAGCAGGGGCAGTCACTTCAACTTTACATCAGAAATTAAGTTCCTCGTTGAATGGATATTGGTTATAATAGACGGTGAAGAGGATATCTTTGTAAGCCACATAGAGTCCTACAGATATATCAATATGGACAAAGACTGCATAGCGACACCATTTCAAGTCCTAGAGGTTGCTTCAATAGTAACCTTACCGGTGGAAAGAATTAAGAAACCTATTGTAACTTTGTGGAGAGATTCAGTTGTGGAAAGTGGTACTTTAAAAGTTTGGGGTAAACTCTCGGAAATATCTGAGAAGAAGAATTGTTTTGGTTTGGGCTATGAATTGTCAAAGGCTACTCTGAAAGGAAAGACAAGGTTTCCTCCTATCAAGGAGACTTTCATCAACAAAGGAACAGAGCATGTCGGACAAGTGGCGATGATATCTGATAAAAGTAATACCAAGAAGACATCTAAATTCATCCATGAATGTGCCTCAGGCGAAGAACTCAAGAATTGGGCAGTTATGGAGATTTTGGAGATCTTTTTCTTTCCAAAGTAATTTTTCTTGTTTTTGAAAGAAGCTATGTCAAGCTCGAGGCATAGGGGTAGCTTGTAAGGGTCCCCCAATTTGTTTCAGACAGTATTCACAATTAATAAAAGTTATATTTCACATTCAATTAAGATCAATGTCTTTCTCTTGCATTTATCTATTATATTTTAAAATGGAAATAATTTTCTTCATATGCATTTTCCAAATCCACATACTAAAATGGCACCAAAACATAATAAATGTGCATATCCATGCCTAAAATCACTGATAATGTTACTGCTGTTATCCGATATAATTTTGATACAACCATCAACCAAGCGAAAGAGGAAGATGATGAAGATCTTGAACTCTCTGAAGAATTGGCGAGGGAGATAGAGCAAAAAGCTGAAAATATACAACCATACTAAGAATCAATTGATACCATTAACCTTGGCACAAAGGAGGATCCCAAAGAGATCAAGCTAGGGGCAACATTGGATAAAAGCGTAAAAAAAAGCCTGATCAAGTTATTGCATGAGTATGTGTATATATTTGTCTGGTCTTACAGGGATATGCCAGGATTGGATACAAATATTATAGTGCATAGACTACCTCTCAAGGAAGGTTTCTCTCCAGTTAGATAGAAGCTCAGAAGAACTCGTCCAGACATGTCTAGCAAGATTCAAGAAAAGGTACTTAAAAAATTTGACACAGGGTTCTTAGCGGTGGTATATTATCCGCCTTGGATAGCTAACATCGTGCTAGTACACAAGAAGGACGGAAAAGTATGCATGTGCGTAGATTATCGAGATCTGAGCAAAGCAAGTTCCAAAGACGATTTCCCGTTACCTCACATAGATGATTTGGTGGATAATATAACTCAAGATTTGGTATTCTCATTCATGGATGGTTTCTCAGGCTATAATCAAATCAAAATGGCACCCGAAGACATGGAACAGACTACTTTCAAGACACCTTGAGGCACTTTATGTTATAAGGTGATGCCTTTTGGCTTAAAGAACGGCAAAGCAACTTATCAACAGGCTATGGTCACGCTATTCCACGATATGGTTCATAAATAAGTTGAGGTGTACGTAGAATGATATGATTGCCAAATCTCATATAGAGGAGGATCGCATCATACACTTACATAAATTATTCGAGCGTTTGCTAAAGTTCAAACTGAGATTGAATCCAAACAAGTGTACATTTGGTGTTAGGTCAGGAAAGTTGCTGGGTTTTATTGTAAGTCAGCATGGTATTGAGGTAGACCCCAACAAGGTAAAAGCCATATAAGAAATGCCATCTCCGAGGATAGAAATAGAGGTTTGTGGTTTCTTAGGACAATTAGATTACATTTCAAGATTCATATCGCATCTAACTGCTATGTGCGAGCCTATATTCAAATTACTGCGAAAAGATCAAACAATGGTGTGGAATAGTGACTGTTAGACAGCCTTCGAGATGATAAATAAATATTTACAAGATCCACCTATCTTAATGCCACTAGTT